AGGGTGTTACACATCGATAGCTATCCCCCTCTGTGGTTCAAATGATAATAAATTGGTAGAAATAGGTTTTTTCATAAAATTTTCATTCGACTTCGGTACTGAGAAGTCAACTTAATCTGTATGCCTTCCACTTGCTCTGTGAACAGCTTTCAAACGACTGTAGTATGAAAGGAGGAATTCTCGAAAAAGTTTACTGTCAAAACTTAACATTTTCAAGCAATCTCCGTATGTACTGGAGCAAAACTTCTTTGTCTGGAACTGTTCTCGCGATGAAGCCTGCTTTCCACTCTATCCTTAATGACTGCGTCAAGATTTTCAATGGCGTTCAAATTCGGTGAATTCCCAGGCCATTCACTGTTGCCGGAGAAGTCGATCCCTGAGGCGCACAGAAGCTCTTGGGTCTTGGGTTTCGAGCGTCTCTCCAAAACATGGGGTTTTGTCATACGAAAACACATTTAACCCAGACAACACATTCTCTGCATTGGTGATGAATGAAATGACGCATTCTTGAATCCTTTTTCGAAAGTATGGATCGTCACAGAATCGGTCCTGTTCTTTGATGACCCTGGTCATTCTCTTGGCTGTGAAGCAAACAAATAGGCCGATGCAGGAAAGACGCTACCGCGTTTGGCGGCCACTCAACTTTTGCAATTTCATCGATATTCCGTGCCCAGATGCGGTCGTGCGATGATTAGGCTTACGAACGGAATAAATTAAAAACTCATCCAAGGGAGCCAAGTGAACGAAATCGTCCTCATCCCGTTCTCGGAGGAAATCGTATAACCAAAAACGATTTTCAATTGACGTTTGTGCCTTCAAGGGCCTTCTTATGACGTGGAACGGAAAGCAACCAGTCTTTTTGAGGTGTCGGTAGGCAGTCACGTGGTTTCGAGCTTTCTTGCGTTCCTGAAGGATCTTTGCCCGTTGTCTCAAGCTCTTCTTCGTCTTCCCCACTTCAGATGAGATGATGTACAGTATTTGGACTCTTGGGGTAATTTCTCTCCAAAATGCCCGATTGCAGTTGTGGCCATTTCACAACCATAAGCACTTCTTGTCCAATTTCAGGTCACAAAACTCACAGATCGATTGAGTTGGGTGGCAATCCAATATTTTATCAATTCAGAACCAGTATCTCGAACCTCTCGAAAAATGATGACTCCGATTCAATCGATAACACGAAGTTTCTTACTATTGTATTATGACATCTGACAAAAAAATTGAAGTTCACCAGTACTGATAAAGAACATAGATATTGAACATGAAACCCGTTTGACCCTGATCACCGTTTGGATCACAAGGGGGGGGGGGATAGCTAGTAATGTGTTACACCCTGTACATATACGAACGTCGAGGTCTATAATATCCTACACCATTGCGATTGAGAGCAACAGGCCTCACAGCCCCATTCATCTTTCAACCAGACACCTGCAAGATTCATCATGTGCTGCATACTAAGTCATAACAGATTGAGAAAACTCTCCAACGATATGCAATGTCATCAACTTCGAACGGAATTTCGAACAATGAATAGGAAAAGGAAGGACCGTGCCCACTCGAGAAGCACGGGTTCAGGTTTTCTTTGAAAGGGAATATTATCCAATAGCGCGATATCAGACTTGATATTTTTTAATTTTCAATACAACTCTGCTCACATATTTGCAGTTTTCAGAAGTTTTGGCAATGCCTGAGCAACTTACCAATACTCATTTTGCCATGGAAGTATCACGACAAAGTGGTATCGTTTTAGAAGAGCGTTATTGGAGCGAAATGGCGATGATTCGGAAAAACTAGTGGCTGGTTGCTGACAGGGAATTCTTACGTTACTCGAATCTTTGCCCATGAAATTTACAGAAACCTTCGAAACACAGCTATGTTGTATCTTAGTATACCGTGCTGTCGCTCATTTTCTCTTAGCGCTTACTCTTCGTTTTACGTTCTTCACATAGCTCATTCGACAAATGGAGACAACATTGTGTCTTTCCAATGCAGGATTCAGAGCTTTCACCATCGCCTTTCCATGGAAATACAGAAAATATTGGAGGTTTTTTGCCCTTTCCCTCCTCGTTCCTTCAGTTGAAAATCTGACAGGTTCTTCTAATATCCTTCAGCTCATCGGATGATTCGAGGGAGGGATTGTAATAAAGGGTGACTCGTTCCATGACTGGTCTTGACTGACTACGACGTATGAAAGGGTATGAATATAACTGAGTTCATGAATCCATCAAAATTCACTTGTATGCTGAAGGAAATTAGGAAGATGGAAGCTGGAAGGAAAGAGTGTCTCCATCTCTAGCTCTAGCATGCAAACTCCAATAGAAAAAGATTTCCCCCAGGGTTACCCATTTCGTATCATACATCCCCTTTAATCTGGATTCACGGTTCGCTCGCACATTAATCATATGACTTTTTTCTCGAGGTATATGCCTACGTCCACACCCCTCTTTCCACCTGTTCTCTCGATCATATTTTGGCCATTCCCTGGGACATTTTTAAATCATTCATTCACTATTGCAGACCAGACCAGAGCTCTCGCGACGAATAGCTGAGCTTTGGCAGTTTTTCGTATCAATGAATTTTGTTATTCGCGAAGTTGCTTCTCCATCTGAGGCTTTTCTCTACCAATATGGAAATTTCGCACCTCTGACTTTTGCGACATCTTTTTTTTTCATGAGGGGGACCCTAGATCTCAAAGGATGGGAATATATCGAGAAGAATTCGGGAGATGCATAGAGGGATTCATTCGTCTTCATTCCCTCAGAAGGAATGAAGATTCATGACCCAGTTCTGATTCATTTGTCGTCTTCAGATCACCCAGACTCACTTCTCATCTTCCATCAACGTTTTTTTTTTCTGTCCCCTTTCCTTCTGTCGTGTCTGTTACTCCCTTTTCCTTTCCCTTTCCAGAACTCTTCTCGTTCTGAAAAGTCTGAACAGACTTAGCTGTAAACTCCTCGTACATGTGCATTCTATTTTCCTGTTTCAGACAGTACGATTGAAAATATGAATACACAATTCGCTTATCAGACACGAACGAAACGTAAGGAAAGGCTGAAAACTCTTCCCTTATAAATTGGTGCGTCAAAGTATATTGGCAAATTTGTCGATATGTGAAGATGGATGAAGGAAGATTGAGTGGCGTAATCCCTGGAAAAATGGAGACTTATCTCCAGCATTTATCTTCACTATAGGAGAAGATAGGCACGTCTCTCGGGTCAAACTCCATTTGAGGCGCAAAGCTCATAATCAGTCTCACCCCTCTTCATCGCTTCTATAGATCTGTCTTGCCTTCTCCTCATCCATACGAATTGGCATTTGCTCATTTCCTCGCCTTCATCATGCAAAGAGAGAGGAAAACGTTTCCGTAGCGAAGAACGAGCTCAACTTATCATGAGGTGAACGAAAAGATTTTTTTAAACATAGATGCAAAATGTTGCTTTTGCCTCCGATATGAATTATTCATGTCTGATCTTCTCTTTCCCTGTCCCCACAACCAGTAATGGGCGTGGATATGGAAGGAGGAACGTGGACGAAATTCCGGCTTCTTAGTTCCCATACTCGGAAGGAATGTCATAAGAAGGAAGGTCTAACTCTACAGTAATAGCCCGACGACATTGTGAGAGACCTAATGCCCTGCCATCGTGCCACTCCAGCTAATAACGGTTTTTTCCCCCTTCCCTATTCTTCCGGTTCCTATTTAGGCGGATGTAACCTTTTTTTCTCTCTCTCCCCTTTTCTTTTCCTTCGTCTCCTTCGTTCCCCGTTGTCCTCGAGGAGGAAATCTCCATTTGTCGTGACCATGTTCGTGGCCTGATTGTGAAATAGGGGGAACAGAGCCGAGAAGATTGACAGGGATAGGGATGCCTGTCCACGAGAATAACTTTTGCATCACATTTCCCACTTGATCGAGACTGAGACTCATCCATTCCATTCTATGACTCCCTTCCTGAGGTCCATCAGGAAACTTTTCAGCTTCAGCGCGAGGCTGAAAATAATTATTCAAGAGTTTTCTCCTCAAGGGAAAGGGGACGCTTGACCGTTAAAAAAAAAAGAAGGGAACTTGATCTTTTCGTTAGAATCATGCCGATCCTGACACCTTCTCTTCATTCTATTTTCTTTTCTCTTCGGCTTCTTTTACTCGGTAAATCGAACATTTTTCAACCTGTCTTGAATATTTTTCTCCCACTCCATCGCGTTTCCATGGAGGTTTCCTTAATGCGCTTTTAGCTGAATTCGACTTTAATTATGACGACACGTTCCCATGGGACTTTTCACCCCTCCTGTAGCGCTTCATCCCTATAGTTCATGGGAACACGCTGAGTGACTTAGTTGTTGAAGCATGCACACTTAGGCAAGGCAGATCTTGAGGTCAGCTGATCTCGACTGCGCATGCTCCACGGAAGAGTCGCTAGCTAAGTTGACTTGACACGTTTCCAAGGAGTTTTAACGTCGACGTTAAGGTGACTGCGTTAAATCGACTTGAGAAACTTCAATAGAAACATGGTGCTTATTGTCTTGTTCTGATGACGTCTCTCCAGTATGCTTCACTGGCCTCGTTCTACATAAGCCAATATTAAAAAAGGGAGCACCCTTATCTCCCCATCTCAATATATCGGACGACTCAATATTAAGAGACTTTTGAATCATTCAGGAATCCAGGAGGTGGTTTTACATCTATTCAAGGTACCACAGAGTGGATCGGACATTACTTTAAAAAATCATTAACGTTGAGAGGGAAGATGAAAACAAAAACCTTTCCTTCCTTCCAGAAAATGTCAATTTAGTACAGTAGAAAGTTCCAACCAACGATATTGTGCCGAACGTTCTAATATATGCATCGCCTCTTACATATAATCATAAAACGTTTTGCTGCTTTAATTAATTGAATTCATGTCGTTCCGCAAGTTGGACCGTTCTCTTCTCATTGATTCACTGCTGCATATGCCATATCCTTTCCAGTCTGAAGGCTATTATTGCTACTATTTGTTGAATTCCGATACCAGGTGAGACAGGGATGAGGGGATTGATGGGGGACCTGAGGCAAAGAGAAGTGGATGAATGGCTAGGAGTTGGAGATTCCTCAAGTGAAACGCAGCTGGGAAGTTCCGCTCGAATCGGCATCTACGGATGGAGAAAACGATTCCTCTATCTCCTTCTCATTCTCCTGCTTGTCATGATCATCACAAATCTTTCCCTCACTCTCTGGATCCTCAAAGTCATGGACTTTTCCGTCGTGAGTTAGCCCCTCTCCACTTTCCTAGACGTGATCAGAGATATTGCTGGACACTTCTCATTTCCTGCCGGGGAAATCAGGAAGAGGTTGGTCTGAATGGAAAGAGAAGTTTTTTCTTCAAGGCGTGGATTGAGGAAAACTTTAATTCTTACCCGTCCTTCCCGTTGTCCGATCCAAAGAATATTGTCTCGCACTCTCAATGGAAAGGATTGTTGACTCACTCCCGAAATTGAAATCAGATCCTCTCTCTTTCCTCTATGGCCCCCCCTTTTGCACACATGATCGATCTCATTCCTGACGACAGAGAGAAAGGGAAAAAGGAAGGGAAAGACATCAGTGGAGCAGTCGCGAAAAATAATTGTTTTTTTTTTTTTCCGAACGCGATCCACGCAGGAAGGGATGGGGAGACTGAGGATCATCAGTGAAGGGCTTCGATTGGATGGAGAGGCGTATATCTTAGATCGGCTGATCATGTCTCACATGAGATCCCGACGAGGACAAGCCATCACGTTAGAAGCATCGAGGAACTTCACTATAAGAACAAGGAAGGATACGCAAATCGCCAACACCCTCTTCCTCGGTGAGGAATCGAGTGTTTGCACCCGGAATGAGGAATGAGGAATGGATTGTCTTTCCTTTCTCACCCCCCTCCTCTCTCTCACTAGGTGAGAATAGATTGGATTGCGAGGCTTCCTCGTTCCGCATCGTGGATCCTTTGGGTCGGGAACTCTTTTCCGCCACACGAAAAGAGGTCCATGTCGGTGCTTCCACTCTTAGGGTCTCAGGTCTGCTTGTTTCTTCAAGTTAGATATATATATTTTCCTCTCCTGGGAGGAATTTGCCCCAAGAAATGTCTTGTTCTATGTGATGAAGGTCCAGGGGGAGCCGAGTTCGATGCCGTCCAAACCCCTCTCGTCAGGGCTGAAGCCAGCCATGAGCTTAGGTATTGTTTCTCTATTCAATATTCACCACATCCAGGAATACTTGAACACGTATGGATGAAGAGTTTTGAAGTTCCTTTGAATTGATTCTGAAAATCAACCGGTACCGAGATAAATGAATTGCTTAACACGGACGTGTCATGTAGCAGAAAATGAACGCTTGGTAATGGCTCAGCGGAAAAAATAATTGCTACAGCATACCTCACTTATAAAAATAGTATGGTGTGACTGATGTGCGATGGGGATGGAATGCAGGTTGGAGTCACCGACGCGAAGCATCACAATGGAGGCACCGGAGAGCATCGGGATAGAGTCGTGGGCCGGGGACATCTACGCCTCCTGCCTGACCAACATCCGCCTCCAATCCCGACGAGGAGCCGTATGTTTCCCATTGCATTGCATTGCCAGAGAATCTCGCTCATATTCCTCCTCTCCTTGCAGATCTATCTAAACTCGGGGAAAGTGCGATTGCCGGATGTGCCGATAGCGAACGTGACTTCTTCTCCAAGGCAGAATGTGCTCGTGTACCAAATGTGCGCCTGCGGAAATGGACAAATCTTCCTCGTGCCTCCGACCAGGCAGTGTCATGCTGATCCCACTGTTTGCTTCTAAAGACTATCTCACTCCTGACTCTGATGATCCGTCTATTCCTGCTTCACTTCGACAACGTGACCAAAGGCGCTCATCCTCGGGACTCGGTCATGGTCTTCGATTCGGGCCCATTCACTGTGATAACCTCCACGGTGCTGGCTATCGAATTTGAAAACATCACTTTGCCTGTATATTAATTTCGAGCATAGTGTGACGTCCTCTATGAATTTATTGATCTGAGACGTTTATAGTATGAGTTGATGAGTTTGAAACTTTCTTCTGGCAGAATAATAAGGGTTTTCTTTAAATTGATAAATTGCCCTGTCGCATTCGTCGATCTTGTCTCCAGGAATATCCAAGGTACCATTTGTGTTTGGCATTGTACCGTCTGCCTATGGACAAAATAAGCGTGGGATACTTTCATTTTCTCCTTAAATATGTGAACAAGGATGAATGACTTCTTTTCGCCTCATTTCGTTTTTTCTTTCCTAGCAGAATGAGAAAAGAAGCAAGAAAGAAACCTCTGTTTTCTGCAGTACGAAACGATGCTTATTATTTTTGCATCGGTTCCTCTCGCTTCACTCTGAAGAGCAAGAAAGACAAGCTTACTTGATTAGCTTCCATGTTATGCTGACTTTCTCTCTCCGGTTCTCTTCAATTCCCTTGACACCATGAGTTATAAATGAACTTCTAGGCTTCCAAGTCTTTTTTTTACATAGATGCCATGTTGAGAAACCTGAGGAAAAAGCCCGGTCAGCACCAAAACTCAGACAATGAATACATCTCTCTGACTCCCATGAGGGGAGAAACCGGTGAATTTATGAAAGATAGACGATATTGCTGCCTGAATTCCATTTCATGACTTTCATGAGAGAGCGTTCTATGCTATCTCGTTATCAGTAACGGTTGGCACAAAAATATCTCCTTTCTTCCCTCCTTGCTCTTCTGCCGAAAACCGTTCCATTATATCTCCAGTAGAAAGAGGGAGGTGCCTCTGGGGCAATTTAGCAAAAAAGAGAGGGAGAGAGACAGAGAGAAAGAGAGAGAAGGAATGCCTAAGGAAGAGCTTCCGGGAAGCAACTGGCAGCGATTTTTCCGAGGCAGAGCTCGGTAATTAATGCCCAACCCTCGTCCTTATGATGCAGGGCAGGAGAATCCAATTCCTGGGCATCGTAATGGCATTAGGGATCTATTTTGACTCTGTTTCATTCATTGATTAGCAGCCCTCCAGCAGCAACAGTCCCATCATTGCTTTCTCTCCCTCTTTTTTCGCCTTTCCCCCGTGAGCTGTCTGTCGCTCCCGAGAGAAACAAGACCTGAATGTTTGCCTATCTTCGCGAAATAGAAGGGGACAGGAAGCCAAATACAAGTAATATGCAATATTCAAAGAGAGGTACAGACGGAGGATGAAGCTGGAGCTCTCGCTAGATGTGTCCCAGGACACAGACGGCCCTCTGGAAGTACAGAGCCCGAGAAAGTGACATGGAGTGACATTGGTGCCGCACCCACGGGGGCTAAGAGGCGCGTGCTCCCAAATACCTCCCTAATAATTTCATTGGAGGGGGGGGGGGGGGAGCAATGCCCAGATTGACTAGAGTACACCAAAAATATGGCACTTCGAATGTGAGAAATAGTAAATAAACTGCTCTTTTGCAAAAGAAATGACAAAAATGATTTTACTATCCGTTCAGTACGTCGACTGAGGGATCCCCAGTACCGCGAAGGGGAATGGGATGGAAGAAGGAGCACGCAGGGGCACAACCACAAAATTCAAAATGGAGGATGTGAACGGTGATTAAGGCTTAACGGTGGGATGTGGATGTACTGGTCTGACCAAAATATACCATAACATTTCCAATGCAAAATCTGCATTCTTTCAATTGTACCTAGCAGTCGCTTACGCGAGGGGGGGGGGGGTTTGAGCCCCCCCCCCCTATCCCTGTTTACGGTTCACCCCCAGAACCGATGTTTGATGGGGGGGGGGGCTGCCATTGCTAGGAACCGAACACAGAAATTATCATCCATCCCTCTCCTGGCCCTCCTTTCTCCTAGCACCTCACCTCGTCTCGCCGCTCTGCTACCATAATACGAGTCCCCACGCTTTAAAAATTCCTTCATGTGCCACTGAATCCTAGGATGACTTGAAGGGGATTTAGACTTTGTCTCCCCCTTTCCATAATTGTTATTAGTCAGCGCCCATGTAGAGTCGCCAGGTAAGACAGACTCATCACCTGAACGGTCTCGAGCCAATCGTAACGCAGCACCGACGCAATTGCTGATCGAACAGAATCAGACATTACTGATTCCCGATCAATATACTATTCCAAGTGTACATCTTGGTGAAAATAAAGAAAAAAATACTCGAGTGCATTCTTATTGGTGGTAAAAATGGCAGAATATGTTCTTCTGTCTGCCAGGAGAATACTTTATTCTTGGAGTGAATGACAAATACGTTTTCCTGCTTTGGAAATGTCTCGACTGGAACATCATACTGCTATGCATAGGCGTCGACTTTTAAAAAATATTGGGGGGGCAAGTTCCTATTGCCCCTGAAATAACAATGACGCAGTTATTCCAGGATCCATTGGGGTAGTTCAGTATTATTATGGTAGCATAGTGACGAGCGGGGGGGGGGGGGGGGGG